GAGAGGGATATGTCTCCACGACACCACAAATGACTCAGATTGATAAATGCCGACCGGGTTCTGGCGATGCGAAGAGATACCTCTTTTCCAATAGTGCCACCAGCAGAAATACATCGTCCAAGTTAGACAAACTTGTCCATAGAAATCCGTGAGAGTATTTGTAGCTCGGGATGCGGATGACGGTATGCGGGTGTTCTCCGAGCTGGCTGATTTGGCTGCAAACTTTTCGTCGTCTAGCCTGACGATGAAACGTTTGCAGCCAAATCAACCAGCTCGGAGAACACATGCATACCCTCAAAGTTGTCCATAAGCTCTAGCTGTGTTCCTTCAATGGTAAGTGAGGGGGCAGACGACTTCCAGTCCTGGTGTAGCACTTTACACTTCAAGGGGGAAAAGCGCATGCCATACTTAGACGCTTCAATCGCCAAACGGTTCAAAAAGAGCTGTACACTGTGAATCATCACCGAGCAGAGCGATATCATCAGCATAATCTAAGTCGGTCACGCGATTGCCAGGAAGAAGCTCAACACCAAGATTTTTGGAGCCTTCCAGAGATCTCAACAGGACGTCCTCAATTGCAAAGTTGACGAGGAATGGAGACAAAGGGCACCCTTGTCGCACACCACAAGAGATAGTGAAAGGTGAGGAAAGTTTGTATAGACCCTCACTCTACCTGACACTTGGAATTAAAGCGCCCATTTCTCAGCAAACAGTGCCATAAAGCAGGCCGATCAACCGAATCAAATGCTGCTCGAATGTCCAAAAGAACGTTAATGGTTGGCTTGTGGTAGAGTTGGCGGTGTTCAATGGTTTGGCATATCATGAAGATCAGATCCACGCATCCTCAACCGGGGGCGAAAGCCAGCTTGTTCTTCTCGGTAAAACAACTGGCGGATCGGGGATAGTCTGCGGAGCAGAATGGATGCCAGCAGTTTGGAAGCAGCCGGTATGATATTGATTACCCTATGGTTAGCACAGGATATGCGAGCACCTTTCTTGAAAATAAGGACAATTACTGACTCACCGCAGGAGGATGGAATCTTCTTCTTGCCATCTCGTGGAAAACAGCGATATCAGCTGCTTGGCAAGTGCTGGACCGCCAAACTTGAATATCTCTGCAGGACGTTTGTCCGTGCCGGGAGACTTGAATCTCTTAAGGTGGATACCGGTTGCGTAGATATGAGGTGAACAAGTGCCCTCTTTCCGTTTTATAGAGTGATTCGCTCTGGAAAAGTAGAGTCCACAAACAGCTAATTTTGGAACGTCTTGGATGGTTGCTGTTGGAATTCAAGATTTGGTCGGTCTACATCTCTTGCTCCTAAACAGAGGTTTATAATGCGATTCGGGCGGAGCCTTTAAATAGACCGTTGCCTTTTTGCCGAATGTCCTTTTACGTTAGCTACTGTAACAAAATCAGGTTTGCAAGAATAGTCTGACAGACTGTTCAAACAATTCCCACAGTCACCGAGACCATCCTATTCTATCCACCTTTAGAATACGAAGACTGAGATACTGCAGTCGATTCTCGATTTATTACTTTTGGACACGAAATTTTACGTCAATTGAAACTAGTTATGAAGAAAAGTTTTAGTAAAACTGCCAGGCTGTTGATGGTGCCAATTTAGTCCGTCTGTAGTTAATAACATAAAATGTTGAAAATGCACCCATTTGGGTACCTAAAGCTTATGTCAACTTGAGTTGATTGGACTAGTGTCCTCGCGGCTAACTTTTACAAAAACTAGAGGTTGCCTATAATCTCGAATTCCATTGTGAAATCGATTCCGTGCATTGCATTGTTGAGCAGATTGTATGCGGTCTGCACCTGGCTGCGCTTGCTTGTCACGAATGTGTCGTTAACGTATCGGACCCACAGTTTCTGATTGATGGTTTGGAGCAGATTTGCTTCCACAATCTGCATTGCAACCTTAGCAATGAGTTCCGATATTGAGCATCCGATTTGAACTTTGACTTGCTTATATTTCACTCCACTATAAGGGAAGTAGGTCGTAAGGCATAAGTTGCCTATGCTATCATTTGTCATCTACTTACTTGTTAGCTGTTACTCAGGCATTGGTCAAATCTCATTTCTGGATGTACATCTTACTCGACGAACTGACGGTTCCATAGCAAGGAAGACTAACAGAAAGAAGACGTGGACCGGTCAGTATACAAATTTCAATAGTTTTGTACCGCTTAAATACAAGCGTAAACTAATACATTGTCTCACCTCAAGGGCGAGAAAGATATGCTCAGAGGACGCTCTGGAGGATGAGACCAAATCCACCCAGAACATGTTGCTCCAAAATGGTTATCCGGAAAGATTCATTCAGCGCAACATGCGGCCCAAAATGACACCGGTCGTTGAGGACGTACTGGGGAAAACGACCTCTTCATCCTCCTTGGTTTTAAAGGCGATACAGTTAGTGAACTTTTAACAGGAAAACTGACGCAATCGATAAGGAACACCTTTCCGGTTGCGGAATTACGATGCATCTTCGCCACCAACCAGCTAATTCCTGTGTGCAACTAGGACAGACTGCCGAAGCTGACCTCTTCTTACGTTATCTATCGGTTTGAGTGCACTTGTGGGGCAACATATATTGGTTGGACGACTCTGCAATTGTCACCTCGCATTAAGGAACAGCCCTAAATGGTTGTTGAACGGAGGCACCGAAGTTCTTACAAGCGGTATTTTGTATCATCTGTTCGAATCAGGTCACCAGATTAATAACCTCCCTTCCAATGCGCAAATCGAAAGGTACGCAGTTAAGGATGCTCGCCACTGCAGAGGCCATTGCGATTCGCATATTCCAGCCTTCACTGTGCTCACAAAAAGTTTGTTCAATCTCTGCTCTAGCCGAACAGCCATCAGCTTAGCCGTCACCCTAACATCGGCTCAAGCATTGTGATTACGTAAACCTCAATCGATCTGTGTGAATGAGACAGCGGCTAACTATTCACTGTCTAGCCATTGACCGTGTCATTTCAGAACAAACCACCGAACCAATCACTATCCATCCCTTTATAGTTTAACCTTATATGAATGTACCGGCCCGTAGATGAATCATTGAAAATTGTTTGCCTCAGACTGGTGTTCTTGCTGAATCACTGAGAATGTTCGTATGTTAAAATTGTATGATGGCCTCTTTCACTGATTTAGGGTCATTATAAATGAACAACGAGTTGACATCCTTATTTCTTCATGATCTATTCGCATGCTTGTTTGTAAAGAACTAGTTGGGCATTGCTTATGTCCTATTACGACCCACTACTTGAATGTGTGAATCGTCTCCATAATTTGTTTCGCCAAGTAGTTGGTGAGCCTACCTGGAAATAACACGATTGGTCCTAGTCGTGCGCCATCCTTGTACAGTTTCGGAAGATCGTAGACTTGTGCAACTTTGAGTCACGAGTCTTCATTCTGTCATGTTCCTCCTTTGTGATTTGACGAGGCTGTTGACGCATATTCAACTTTCTCTTCAGGTTACCTGTTATTTGCAGTGTTGGATTGGTTTCGACGCATCGGTATGTGGTGTATTGTGGAAGCTGCTTCGTCTTCGCATTGTACTCTGCCTTATCCATTATGACTGTCATACATCCCTTGCCAGCGGGAAACCTGACGATGGTCTCCTCTTCCGAAAACTTTAATGCATCCTTTCATTGTTGAATTAGAACCTTATATTGTTTGCTGTATGCCACGCTAGGGACGATTGCGTTCCTCAGTTCTCTCATAGCCTCTTCATGTAGTTCATTGGGCTATATGACGTTTTCGAGTGCGGTTAGAAATTTGCTGTTCGCATCAACTTTGAAGTTGCAGTTGAGTCCTGTGACAATGGCTAGTCGTGCATCTGCGCTGAGGTGCCTGTTCGACAGATTTCTGACCCATCCAACATTGGTATTTTCACCTCTGCAGCTATTCGCTTTTGACGACTTGTCTCTGGACACAATGTGCTCTGGTGTTTGTTGGGTTACGTTCTTTCACCAGTGTTAGGTGATCTACCAGCTGTTCACCATTGATTCTCTAGCGGGCACCTCGTTGTTTTGCTACGCATCTCATACTTATTGATGCAGTGATTATCATCCGTAACATGCGGCTCTTAAATTGCTTTGCGGCGGCCTACTATTGTGTATGTTTTATTTTCGGTTCGTAGTTAACACTGCGGTGGAGGATCTTATTTCGCAGATATTCATGCAGGAAGTCTAGCTTTAGCTGCAGCCCCACTATCACGCATTGGAGATGTCATCTCGACTGGTAACTAAACACCCGCAAACGAATTGCTCAACTCGGGGAGCAAGGGATTTAAGTGTTTGGCTTGTAATCAACCTGCCATCATTTCACACCTGCGTACGTACTAACAGCCTCGCAGTATCCAGGTCCGCATGTAATCGCTGGTGCCTGTGTTGTGGCGTGACAGCGAATCGTCGGCACGAAGTTCTGGTGTACTGCTACGATATTTTTCCCTGCTTTCCTATTCCCACGATTTTTGAAGACCGGTTGCTCCATCCGGTCAGACGCATGCTCAGTTCACTTCCCACCTTCTTCATTATCACTGGTAAAACTTTCTCCTTTACCTTAAAATAGAGCTTTTTGCACGCTCATCTCATGCTTATTTTACTGACTAACGCCATTATTTATCTGCATACATTTACCAACCTCTCTCCATTGCTCCTGATTGGTTACCCCTAGCTGACTATGAGACCATAGTTGCTTACAGAGCTATTGGTTAACTGTTCTCGGACACCGCTCTGTGTGAATTTACTCAATTAATGGAGTTATGTTGGCTGGTGCACTTAGCTTATCTAATGTCCACTGACTTAATGGCAGATTGCAGCATGTTTCAGGTGTTGTCCAACGTCAGTGACCATATGTCTAGTCCGCTTAACCAGCTGGTCTCCTTTTCGCCTTAATTGGTTCCTATGATTCATCAAGCACGTAATCATTAATTTTTTTGTTCTACCTTTCTGGAGCTGATAAACTTATTTACTTTCCTTTGGTGTAGATGAACTCCTCCAGGCGTCGAAGTAGTCCTGGCCATCCTTTGACTGATGAACCGCGCTCCCCTCCACACTCCGCTTACGCCACACAGTCTTGCGCCGTCGTGAGAGCGCGTGGCCACACTACCGCAGGAATGACCGAGCATGGTGCCCGTTCCGTGCCCAACAGCGGCCATCCGCTTCCACCTTCCTTGCTCGAGCCCATTCCGCAAGGACAAGAGCTATCGGTGAGCTCTTCCTTCACCACTGCCTTCGTTTGTCCCGAGTCTGCTCAAGGTATGTTACTGCTTCATCGTGTTTCATCACATTTCCAATGACCTGTTTTTTCACGAAGCCATTTTGCTCATATTGTTATCTTCGTCGAGAAGCACTTTCATCTGTTCATGCGACATGACAGGCTTGTTCCATTCAGTAGAATTTTAAACGCTCCCACGGCTAACTGGAACGTTTCCTTCTCTCCATTTATCTGTTTTACCTCGCAGCGCTAACTCACTTCATTGTTGTGCTGACAACTGCGCACCAGCTGCTCATTTTCTCCCGAAACCTTTTTGTCATTTTGGGAAAAAGTGGCCTCTGACTATAGCGGCTATTTACCGCAGTAGTAAAATAACCAGTTTTTGCGTGCCGTGCTTCTCACTCTTATCCAAATGGCGCCCTAACAAAGTGCAATACACTGCCCAAGTAGTGTTTACTTTACACACGATATCTCAGACTTCGATCTATTGAAACGCATCTTCCATTGTCCAAAATGGAGTGTTGCGTTATTAGTCGAGTTCTCCTATCAACGGGGAACTCATGTCTTGATATGTGCTCGATTTGACAGCGCAGCTGCATTCGCAACGATTGATACGTGACTTCTAGTTGTTTCACCTATTGATAAAGCACACTTGTCAGAATTATGTCCCTCTCTGTCTGAAAGACAGTGAGAGCCATCTTACTGCATGGGATGAGGCTCGACCTCTTTGAGCTGAGGCGCCTTCAGGTCTTTGCTACGTGCATATTATTTCTGCTATCTGATAGTACCAGCGGATCCGCGACGATGATGTGCGCAGACGAGTACTAGTCGGGGATAGCCGGGTTATTTCTTTAGAACAACATGTAGTCCGGTCACTGCTTGCCATGGAGGGTGTTGTTTTGTTTGCCAGAAGTGAGATGACGCAAGAATTGAGACGGTCGAAGTTAATTTTGCACTGATTACTACACTGGGTACTCTTAGTCCAGATTGGAGTCGACGTTAATCACTTTGTGCTCGGATGACAGTCGAAACCAGTGGCGGATTTGTTTCCTTTTTCTACTCGAATTATCTGCTTAAATTATCTCTGATGCTGAGTTAGCTGCAGAGTAATGGGTTATTAAATAAAAAACTAAATATTTTATTCTCGACAAAACGAGGCACGCCTTTTGGACATGATCAAAATAGTGCAATGTTCTACATACCAGCATAAGAAGCAGTACCAAAAGCACGAGTAATACAGATGTAGTCAGTAGTGTGGATTCACATGGCCCAAAGATTGAGTGTAGTCTATCCTCGCAGAGTGCGAGATGTAGAGATAAGAACTAGGTCATTAATGTTGAGTATGTTGATGAGGGACTAGCCCTATGAGGTTGTGTACACAGTGCCGGTCAGGTGAGTGAAGCATGGGGAAAAAGCTGTGAAAAAATTTTAAGAATAGCGTCATGTCACTGATCAAACATGTAGGTGTAGTCGCTTGAGAGCAGATATATGCACAGAACTTGTGAAATGTGGAATCGGTCAACTTGCCAGTGCGTGGTTAGGGCAGTGACTTTATCAAGTGGTGAGTCACATCCGTCACGTCGCAGTGTTGTTAAACGGATTTTGTGGCTTTTTGTAGGGAGAACGCTTGCCAGGCGAAAACCCACCACGTGAGACAATGAAAACCGCTGTCTCACCGATGCCGCCTTCTCTTTGCACTATAGCCATCTGTCTGTGATGGTGGGTTGTTGACAAGGCGCAGGCACTTTGACCCTGAGTATTTGTGTTGGACATTTAGGTTTTACACTAGGGCTCAGTTCTCTCTGCTTCTTATTCTTTTTTATTTTGTAGGTCATTTTTGTTGTACGACAGTCCAATTTATTAATGTGCTGCTTTTGTTGTTGATGAGGATGAGAATGTTGATGATTATAACCAAAAAGCTGAGAATAAACAAAAAGGACAAAAAGGACTGGCTCCAGGAGACAGTTGGTCGTTGCTGGAGGGGACGGGGTGCACGGTCCTTGTGGCCGTGCTAAGCTCGAAGAGTGGTTCCATGCATCACAGTGTGGAGCGGACTACGGTCCAGCCACCGCCTTGTGTGCACTTGGTTCCCCAAATACAGCGTGCTTGTGTTTGCCTGTGAAGGAGTGTGGGCCGGCTCCGTTGATGAAACGTGGTTCCCATCCACATGCCTCCCGGTCTTATTTCTTCGGGTTTACACTGGATATGGGGTGTGTGGTTGGAGCTGTGGGTGGTGCAGCGCAAGCCAACGATGGTCCCTCTGTAGGCTCAGGCGTCCTGTGGCTGACCACAGTGACACGCAAATCCGAAACCGGATGCCGCCAACCATATATTGTATTGGTACCGGCATGTTTGTGTTGTCAGATGTTTGACAGCACTTGCTGACTGGTTAGTGTCCCAGATCTGGCTGCGCTTGATGAGAAAGTTGGCAAGATGCCTGCCTATCGAAAACCGCCAAGGGTGCACGGTTCTCGCTACAGCGCTAGAGTCGAAATGTGCTTCCAGGCTGCTGTCAAGCCATCATTGTTTGTCATCCTTGTGTGCTTGCTTTCCCCTATTGCATATTAATGATGTGCATGCTGAATTAATTTTGGCTTCAAATCGCATGCATCACGCTTTTATTCCTTGGAACTTACGCTTGGGGTGCGTTATGTGGATGGAGCTGTGGATGATGTGGCGCATGCCACCCACGGTCCCTTTGTAGGCGCGGGCGTCCTGTGGCTGTCCTCTTGGAGGCCGCAGTGACAGAGAAATCCGGAACCGGATGCCGCCAACCACTCACACACACACGGGTATATATATATATATATATATATATATATATATATATATATATATATATATATATATATATAAACACGAAAGATTACAGCATGAACCCTCATTGCGATCGGTGCCGTTGTAAAGATGTCATGATAGGCACATAACTACAACTTAGGGGTTAATATTCTCCGTCCTGTAGAGTAAACATAGTGTCTCAACTGTTTGCTCGTATCTGTGTGTCGGCGTGCTGCAAAACTTCGTCACCGACTCGAAAGGAGTGGAAACTGCTCTCTCCGGCCTCCCTCTTCTGCCTCATTGGTTCCATGCAATGTGTCCACAGCATAACTAATGAGATCACCAAGAAATATGCTCCATCACTCCAAATCAACATTCTGTCAGCTGTAGCATTGTTGTCTGATGCACATGTTGTACTTCTCTCGTTGGTTTCGTTTGACAAACCGATATGCTTGTAGTTCCCCGGAACAGTAATTGCGCAAGCCTACCGTGCACTAGTGCAGAGGATGGCCCTCTTTGCTCCCCCCATTATCTGTCATCGTGGTCCACTCCATTCTATTCTGATATCTTTAACAATACCTATCTGGACCCAGGCACTGTTTTACAACACGGTTGACTATGTATCACACCTTATCATACCGCCTTCATTCGGGCCCATACATTCGGTGGGTGTCCACGGAGGATTTCAGGGCGTACAGATGTCACGTTTGTCTGAAAATTATCATTTGGACAACTATTTTGTGTATCGCGAAAAGGAATGAACTGAACGCTAGTTGTTAGTTACCTTTTTTGGGTCACTCGTCGTATGCTGCTGCGATGCGCTACCAAAACTTCAACCGAGATTTCCTTCGAAGCGACCATTGCCCAGCTCGCTTCAAAAACAGCCGGTTTCTTCCTTGTATGGACTCTTCCGGTAGGGATGGCAGTACTTAGGACACGAACGTGAACCCTAATCCGGGACGTAGACATTACCGCCAAACACGCAGTATTACACTGCTGTATCAGGAGGATAAGGTCTGTCTCAACAGTCTACATCATCATCATACGCGTTAGCTAGAGGTGGGGAACACCTCAGCTACTGTGCCGCAATACACAGAAAAAAGGAGAGAAAAAAAGAATGCAACTGGTGCAAACCGGCTGGGCTACCGGGAACGATGGGAATCGTTTCGTTAAGCTACCAGCCGGCTACTGTGCATCAAAAAAATACTGTGCAAAATTATATAAGGCTAAATAATTAGATCGTGGTTAGAGGGGGAGGCTGAGAGGGATGGGGTGGGACAAAGAAACTCACAGCACGAACGCCACTGAGGTCGGTTCCTAGCCATATCAGCAACTGTGTCCAACTAAACGTGTTCGTCGTCTTTCGGACCCCAACCAGGGAGCCGAGACGCTCCAACCGAGGCCAGCTCAGAAGTGAGGGCCTTCATTCCTCTCGACCAAGTCCTCGCTTGACCACCCCTCCTCTTCTTCCATCCACACCCGCGGCGCGCAAACAACGCACGTCGCGGGAGTCGGTCGGTTGGCATGCGTACCACGTGGCCGAGCCATCGGAGCCTGGTGCGCGAAATGACGGTGCTGAGCGGTTCATTTCCTTTTCGTGTGCCGTAAACAACAACAGTCTACAGCTCATTCTGTAACTTTGTGGAGTCTACTGTGCGCTGCAGTTACTGCGACACGCAATCTCAATGAGAGCTGCGTTTCGCAGTTAGAAGTGAACCTCAGTCGATTCGGTCACTGGAACCTAAGCTAAAGCTTCCACACCCGAAAACACTGCATAACCACGACCGGTTTCGAACTCACATGATCTCGTCAAGTAGAGAAAGCTGGTTGCCTCGGCTGACATCTCGTCGTTCCGGATTCAAGTCAAAGTCCTGCACTCCCTATCTGATGGATGTAAACACGCATAAAATCGGTCGTGTGGCACAGTGTTGCTAGCGGGGAACACTTAACAGCACTACTTTCGCTTTGGGTCGCTAGTTGAAACGCAATGATGTGCAGCTCAGCTGACCATAGCATAAGCTACATGGTCAAATACATATGGGTTTCTCTATAAAGAGGACACGTGCAGTAAGCTGATGACCCAACAATGCGCAAAGTTAGATCGTCATTTTCGCAAACACTAACGTAGGGTATTTTCGTGGACGACTTTTCGCTAGAAGATCCAGCCATCAAAATGATCTGTTTACCACTAAATCTACCCTATAATTACCTTTAGAGTTCTCCACATTGTTTGCATTCTTTGGCGTTCCAACGGGGTTAGATT